TGTCAAAGAAATGACAACTGTGCTCTTTGCCAGAGCAGGGATGAATAATTGCAAATCCAGGACATAATTAAGCAATTCTGACTGTCGGATTTGGGAACTGTCTCTCTGATGAGAAGGCTGGTGTGCCGGCATACATGCCCTCCTGGACAGGCCTCCCTGCTGCTTTGATCTGCTTTTCCGGGTTCAGTTAGGGTGGGTTACAGTTAGCTCACTGTGGGAGCTCTTTTGCTGGGGCTTCCACCTTGTCTGTACCCAGCCTGGTGATCTCTACATTGGCAGGACCGAACAAACCACTGATATTTGACAAAGATATGTCTACTTCTGTGATATTCCAGGAAATGAGCAAAGTCTGGCTGTTGCAGTTCTATTAACTAACAAAACACACACACGGCGTCTGGAAGAGTCCATTGTACCATTAGCTATCACTTCCTAATGAATGACAGCAGCTTGCTGTAGAACAATCAGAGCTCAGACAGAAGGCAGCTTTAAACAACAAAAGCCAAAAGGCAGCAACGTAGAGAAATGTATCATCATGAGAGAAGACGAGAGAGAACTCGCACACAAGCACTGGGGCCTGACGGGTACCCAATCAAACCATCGGGACACACACCGTTTATTAGTTCCTGGATGATTTTGCATTTGCGTCAGCTGAGAACACCCAGACTGCCCATTCCCCACCTCGAAGGCAAGGCCTGTGATTGGAGAGGTATTTTCCATTCTCCCAAATACTTTATGTCAGGAATAAAATGGAAACAGCTCCCCAAATCACGGCCCTCTTGATCATCCATCAGAGCATTCCGCTGAATAAGCACAACAGGCCTCTGCTGGCTCGGAGAGGACAGAAGCTAACTGGAGACTCCAGTTCCATTATGAAAAATAGGTCTTTGCTGAGTATGCTCAGCCCAGCACCAGCAATTCAGGGGGAGGAAATGACTCTCCACTTAGAAGCTGACTCTGGATATACACATACCTCCCAGAACATGCATATGTATATATACACACAGAGATGGACAGTCCATATACACACCTACATATGAACAAACATACATTGTAGTCACTGTGATCTGGTGAGAAGCAGTCTTTGCAATAGCAGTGTACTAACTTAGCAAGGATCTCATTTAGTCTGATTCTGGCTGCAAAAAGAAAAATGACCTTTGGATTCCTGCTTTGGCAATGTGGGTTAATGAGCTGGACTACAAAGTCGGTTTAAACCTCAAGGTCAGCAGTTCAAGCTCACCAGCTGTTCCTTGGAAATCCTATGCAGGGTTGCTATGAGTCAGTAACAATAACAACAACAACCTATGTTTGAAGACAACAACAAAAAGGGAATTGTCTGCCATTCAAGAGAGGCATACAATTTGATATGAAACCAGGCACACAGAGAAGTGCTCTTGTGACTCGGAAGCACAGTAGAACACTACCTTGATGGGACTGTGACGCCTTAGCATAACTTCTCCCAGTTTCTTCATCCATAAAACGAGAGTGTAGAACCTTTTAGCATACTCATACATGTGGAAACCATGAGACTCATGTAGCCAAAGGTCCCCATGGTCCCATACCATAAGCACTGGACTGAGAACCACAAGGTCCATAGTTCAAGCCTGCTAGCCACTCCATGGGAGAAAGATGAGGCTTTCTTCTCCCATAAAGATTTATACATGCTTGCTGTAAGTCGGAACCAGCTCTACCACACTTAACAATAAACAACCTTAAGTAATTAGTGGGGATTTTTAAGCTTAATACAGTTAGTAAGGGCCTTGGAGTCAATCACACAAGCACAGCTAATTCTATAATTAATTAGAAGCTAATTTGTAACTCTGAAGAGCATTTCTGCTGATGTTGCTAATGACTCACAGAAACAGCTAATACTGGATTCTTAGGAGCCTTTCCCAGTTGCTTTCAAAGGCAGGGCAGAATGTCAGTTCTCCTCCATCTTGAATGCAATAGAATAGTCCCGTTTTTATCTACTTCCTTCATTTACACCTCCCTATAAGGTTATGTTTGAACAAAGAGATCCATAGGAAAATATTTATTTCATGCTTTTCGTTTGGATTAAAATATGTGTTGACACCCTCATTCCTTTACCTATAAATATGATCTTGTTAGGAAACAAGGATTTTTGTCATGTTACTGAGCTCCTTCCCATGCAGGGTAGGTCCTAAACCTACTGACTTCCGAGTTATATAATGACCAGAACAGACACCGAGATACACACATAGGGAAAGACTGACAGCATCTGAGGGCTGTCTGTAAGCAAAGGAATGGCAAGGGTTGTTGGTAAGCACCAGGGGCTCCAAGAAGGAGCTCACATACCCAAGAGTCTGATTGTCATTTCAAGCCTTCAGAGCTGTGAGGTAATAAACATCTGTTCTTCAAAGTCACTCACTAGTGATGCTGTTTGTTACAGCATCAATAGATAAATAAGTAAGACACTGCTCCAGAGAAACAAAGCAGAGTGAGAACATGGGTTCTGGATAAACAAAGAGGTGAAACGCCACCTCTAGCTACGACCAGCGCTGAGACGTTGGGCACCTTAATTAAATGTTCTGGGCTTTAGTTGTCTCCTCTGTAAATGGAGCCAACGACCTCTGTTTTCACCTTGTAGGACTTTGTGAGGATTCACAACTCTTTATGCAAAGAACTTAACAAGAGTGGTAAGCACACTGAGTATTCCCTAGCCTGCAATACGCAGATGACATACAACCTTGATTGCTGAACAGGAAGAGGACCGGAAATATTGATAAACATCAAACACTATAGCCTTCAGTATGAACTGCAGCTTTCATTGTAAAACAAATGAAAAGCCTCAAAATAGCACCACCACCAACATGATACCTGGAGAAAAGACAGAAGTTGTCAAATACTTCATTTTACTTGGATCCACAATCAATGCTCATTGAAACAGCAATCAAGAAATCAAACAACTTATTGCATTACACAAATGTGTTGTGCAAGTGATCGAGAGCAAAGATGTTAGTATGAGGGCTAAGATGTGCCTGACCCAAGTCGTGGGATTTTCAATCCAATCATATCCAGGTGAAAGTTGGAAAATGAATAAGGAAAAGCATAGAAGAATTGATGCATTTGAATTACGGCGTTGGTGAAGAACATTGCAAGTACCATGGACTTCCAGAACAATCGAATCAGTGTTGCAAGAAGTACAATCAGCATGCTTCTTAGAAGCAAGGATGGTGAGACTTTGTCTATCGTCCTTTGGGTATATTATCAGGAAGGACCCATCCCTGGAGAAGAACATCATGCTTGGGAAAGTGGAAGGTCAGTGAAAAACAGGAAGACCCCTAGCAAGTTAGACTGGCACAGTGGCACTACCAGTGGGCTCAAACGTAACGACAGGATGCTGCAGCACCCAGCAGTGTTTCGTTCTGTTGTGAGTGGGTCGCTATGAGTGGGAACCAACTCAACAACACCCAACCGCAACAACAACATGGTTGGTATTACATTAGTTGCTCTTTTGGATTTTTAATGACAATGTAAGACTTCTTTATCAAAGGCAGTGAGTTCTGGAAAAATATTGATCTAATCTACAAAAGTTAGAAACACACACTAGGTAGAAATCCAAGCTGTTATAAAGACTTCATGTGTTGTATATTGCTGAATTTGGTGACATTGGCTGTCTCTGGATTTTTTTTTTTTTTTTTACCAAAAAATAAAGGTCAGGAAATCAATTATTTCATTTGGACACAATTAGAAAAGCTGGAATAACTAAAGGCGGTCATGAGCCATATGTCAAATCTATGCTTAGATACAGAACTGGTAAGACTTTCATAACTACAGAACGAACCACTCAATTAATTTCCCACAGGCTGCAACAGGTAACAATGCATTTATCTGCCGGTATTATATCCTCCATACCATATACTTCCACAACTGTTAGCAATCTTATTCAGCATAACGGGGAAATAAGTTGCACCTCATGGATTCAGGGAAAGAAAGTGGCCTAAGGTTTGTTGCCAGCTGAGCAACTTGATGAAAGAGGTCTCATTTTTCTGTTTTGTTTTTGTTTTTCCTTCTCCCTCCTTCATTCTTTCATACAAGTCAATCATCAAGGACAAACTAGACCTCTGAAGTTTCAGTACCAGCACTTTCAGCATACAAGCTGCAACCCCACAGGAGGGGGACAAAGCTCCACTGAACCCCAGGGCCATGATAGACCTTCAAAGGGGTCATCTAGTCCATTTCCCAAGCCTGCCTTACTGAAAAGACTCCAGCTCCTCCCAAAGAGATTGTCAGCCACGTCCTGACAAATCTCCTTGTGTCTGAATCCAAGACCCAGAGCTAAATCTCCCCTGCTTCATCAGTGCTGTCATTAGGATGACACCAGGTTAAATTATACAGCCTCGATGTGGCCTCAGATGCTAAAGAAAGGTCAATAAACACTGTCCCAATGATTTCTAGAGAGCTCCATGTGGGGAGCACAACTCAGCTCAGGGACACATTGTCAGAACACTTCCCCCTTCCCTACTTAATGATATCTTGGAGAGCTATTAAGCTCTTGCTTGTAGATGACAGAAACTCACTTTCCCCTAGCTCCTCTTTGGTCACAGGAAAGAAAGGCCCCTTAAAGGCATGATTGGAATCTGACCCACCCCAGAAATAGTAAATGTCCCATGTTTTCATCTTTCTCCTTTCTCAGCTTCAAAACTACAATGGCTCCATTTTGTAACAATAGCATTTTCCAGAGGAAAGAAGGTCAAACTTTATCAATGGGCTGCTGCTTTGTTGGTAAAGCAGTCATCTGTGTGAGACCACCTTACAAACAAGGGCTCTATCGTCAGGTCCTCTTACACTGGGTTACAGGCAGACTCAATTTCTACTTAATCTTACGTTTGGCTGGCATTGCAATGAGGAGCAAAACCTGGTATATAATTCTGCCTGCATTCTAATCAAAGAGCATCATCCGAACAACAAAGAGTAGCTGATGTCACACCCGTAGCTTCCTGAGTCACCAGGCTGGTGATGACCAGGGAGTAGGGACCTACCTTGGGTTTCACCACCTTCATGAATGCCCCTCTGATCAGTGCCTCCTCTCGTTCCTGTTTGGTTACTTTCTTAGCATCCAGGAACTTCAAGTTGGGTAGCTTGTACAGAACGAAGCATCTGGAAGACAGTCAGAGACAATTTAGCAAGGTTGGTGAGAGACACTCAATTGGTTGCATCCTCAGAACTCCATACTATTAGCTTTTCCTGGTGTGGCACTGTACAATGGGCACTGGATTGCTAGCCACTACGTCGGCAGTTCAGACCCACCAGCTGCTCCTTGGAAGTCCTATACAGGGTGCTATGAGTCGGAACCAACTCAGCAGCACTTAACAACATCAGCTTTTCAGAAATGAAGATCTTGGATGTTGTTGCTTCTCACTTCCTTCACAAAGAACAGTTAGCAGCATGAACAAGTATTCTTTGAGGAAATCAGAATGGTTATAATTTACCTAGACACAGAACTAAACTAAACTAAACAAAGGCACCCAAATGGCATCACTTCAATCAAAGATACACACACACACACACATACACATTCTTAAATTAGCCAATGTTGTTGTTGTTAAGTGTCATCAAGTCTATTCTGACTCATCATGACCCTAGATAGGTTTTCTGAGGAGTGGCTGGTGGGTTTAAACCACCAACGATGAGGTTCTCAGTTCAGTGTTTAGCCTTTATCTCTATACCAGGACTCCACCACATCCAGGAGGGCCCTGTGAATGTGCTCTCCTCCTTCTCTTCTAGAAAGCACATTCAGCTTCTCTGCCACCGAGACAGTTCTCCGTAAAATGAACCAACAGCCTGACAACACTATTTCTATCATGATTCTTTATATACGGCATCTGTATCACTTTCAACTCTTGAGATGAAACCGATTTACAAGTTGAAGCATCCAAGCCAACAACCTATAGGCTCTAATATCAACCAAGAGGAGCTCAAAATAGAAGTAAAGAGCACATGTAGCTGACAAATGCTTCCCTGATGAACAGAACAGGGGTCTTAAAACCTCACTGAGTTATTTCCATGATGAAACTATGAAGATTGTGTATAGGGGATATTAACAAGTCATCAAATGTCAAATGCTATGTGCTCGCCATTTTTCTAGAAACAATGGTGTCCATTATGAACTCTAAAGATTACACAATGGCTACTAGAGATGAACTGTCCTCAAGAAGTGTGAAGTTGGCAAGAAAAGTCATTTGACCTGGGTGCAGGCTGGTGTCTAAGACCTAAAATTCTCCTTACTCAGTGACAGTCACCAGCCTAGATAGTTCCTATTAAGTGCCTCCAGTATACCAATCAAATGAACATTTGTTTCAACCGTGTTCTACTGAGAAAGAAACGGTGAGTACTCAATGTCAGAGCAATACATTGTCTCCATGGAGATCTTCCATCTCCTTCTTCCACCTAAGTTCTTTAGACTGCACCCCCAACTCACATTGCTTTCTCCCTTTTCCACATTCCTAAAATACATTATCAACATTACATAGTACAATGCTTCGTCACTTTCATGGGTGTTCAGTTGGTGTTATTTAAACTTTGTTTCTTGAAGGTAGAGGCACCTTTCACTTTGCTCACCCTCACTGCATCTTAGAAACTAGCATTAGAGTGGACTCGATAAAACACCAGCTTATAAAATTTGCACAAATATTTCTTAAGTACCTACTAAGCACCTGAGTACCTACTAAATACCTACTAGGCCCTGAGCAGAGGTGATTATGACTTAGTTACTGCCTTCCAGAAATCCCGAGTGCAATGCAGATGATACATCTCAATGAGATGACTATATACCATCAGCGTGGCTAAGTGCTAAGACTGAGGTTATATGTAGTACAGCCATGGGAGCACAGAACAGGGTCCTGCCTTAGTCACTGGACAACGGAGAACTAAAAGAAATGGAGGAGCAGGGAATTTCAAGCAGGCTTCAAGAACTGAACCAGGGAGCAACTCAAAGACTTAGGTTTCCTCAATGCAGATGTTATGCAAGGCATGCAAGATACATCCCTCCCTCACTACTAGACTCTTGGGTTCCCAGGGCCAACTCCTACTCCATAAAAGGGCCTCCCATCACCAGGTGGTCTTCATGCATTTCTCAGAGTCACAGATTTAGCTGACTGCACAAAAGCCAGAGACAGTAACTTGGTAGTCTCCAGTAACAACCTTCATGTTACTCATTTTTCCATAAAAATACTCTGAAAGTATCTGAAGTATATATTTTTTTCTTCCCCAGAAATGTCCACCCTAAGATTTAAATTCCTAAATATTGACTCTCAATCCTACTGGATGCTTCCTTTAAAACCACTATTCTCGCCTTTCCTACTCTCGCTGAACCCCTCTGTCCCCCCTCTCCAAATGCCCCCTTATCCTGATCCAAAATCAGGACAGTTCCACAAAGGTTCCAAATGTCTTTCCCATCCTCCAGAAAAATTCCCACCGGCCTCAGTCAATGTCACAGAAAACTTCCATCTTCTGCTTGTAGCAGCAAAGACTTGAAGACAACAGATTCTTTCAAATAAAGACATGTACAGACAGAAACAATATGTCAGGAGTGACGCTCAAAGGAGTAAAGACACCCACTAAGTGTAGGGTGGGAAAAGATGAATATTCAGGTGAAGAAAACATCAGTATTAGAAAATCAGCCAATGTTTAATGATGGAATGAAAGATGCCTTCACAGGGCTGGCAGGAACCTGGATGACAACAGACAGCACATTGTCATCTCACCCCACTTTGGATCACAGCCCTGAAATCAAAGCAGAGAGAGAGAGGTGCTGGCTTTTAAGCTAGTTAAAATTTTTAGATGACAAAGAGCTGCTGTTTTCAGAGCACTCTTCTTATACAGCCAAAGAAAGAGCCCCTGAAAAGTAGGATGCCAGGTGTCTCTGGGACTAGGGGTAACTTAACTCCACCCTCAGAGCCAGCCTGCAGTTTCCAGGTGGGTGGCAGCTTAGAGAGGTGAGAAGGACACTGGAAAGGTTTGCTCTTTCCAATCCTGAGATGCAGCCCAGGGACCAAAGCTCTTCCCTCAGAGATGTTTCCTTTGGTTTTGTTATTCACCGATCCATTCTTTCTTCAGCCATTCCACAAAACTCCTACTGAGCAGCTACTATCTTGTAGGAACTGGGCCGGGTGCTGAGACTAAAGAGATGAACAAAACAGACAAGGTTCCTGTTCTCAGGGAGCTTACATTCTAGGACAGCGGTTCTCAAATGTCTGTATGGATAAGCATCCTCTGGAGACTTGCTAAGATACTGTTCACTGGGGCCACAGGGAGTCTGATCCAGTAGGTCTAGGGTGGGGCATGAGAATTTGTTTCTTGCAAATTCCCAGGTGATGCTGATGTTATTGACTGCAATTGGAGAATCACTGTTCTAGATGAATCATACTTTAGAGACCAGCGTTGTGGGACATCATGAAGGTGGTGAGGTAAAGCACCTCCTTCTTCCTTCTACTAGCAGTTGTCCCTGCTCCAGTGCCTGTGGGTACAGAGCACATGAAGAGCAGCCACATCTCCTCCATCTTCCTTCCCTTTGGTAGTCTGGAACATTATTTCCCAATCATAAGTCAATGGGCTTCTTTCTGGCCTGCCTTCCACACCGCGGTCTGGGGAGATCTATTTCCTTTTGTTCCAGGTCATGTCAGGGTGTCAAAAGCCACAGCTTCAATCCTGCGTGTAATACCAGTTTGCCATAAAAATACGAGAAAGGATTCCTGAAGCCACAGAATGAAAGCTTTTACAATATCAATTCATCCCTTGTAAATTTAATCCAGGGTTATTTGTTGCACCAAAATCTCTTTACGGTGATGTATTACTTAGTTACTGGGGTTATCACAGCCGCATCCTAAAGTTGCATAGTACATAAAACATTTCAGTTAACAATGTGGGAAGGCTAACTCCCCCAGAAAGCCCGCAATCACAAGGGCTAGACCAGATGACATGCTTCTGTCAGCTTCCACGAGCTATTGATGGTTCAATCAGTTTGTTTTGAAGGTAAAGTACAACAAAAGGGCAGTAAACTTATTCAGACTGTCAACAGGGGCTATCGGAACAGGGCTTGCAGGTAAGTAATTCTGGATGTTTTAAGGCTATTATCAAACAGCGATGGTTGAAGGAAGAGACAGCTACTAATAACACAGAAGGCAACCATCATAAACCACTTTATGGCAGAAACCCCCGTCTATAAATCCTGCGACACCCGGAGACAGCTTCAGATTTATAAAACTGCTTGTTAAGCCCGGGCAATGCTTAATGAAAAGAGATCCGTCTAAGTTCCAAGTTTCACTCCCTAGCTCCGGAGGGCAACTCCAATTTGCCTGACCTTCTCAAGGTGGCTCAGGGAAGGCCCCAGGAGCTTGATGTGGTGGAGTCTGAGGCACTCTTGGCTAAGATGAGGAAGGTGAGGTTATCAAGAAGAACAAGGATGCTGGGAAAATATTTTAAGATCCATTTATCTCTGTCTAGAAAATCTGTTTCTCTGAAAGCGAGAGACTAGCGGTTTTTCAGGTTCTCTCTTTTCATGTAGGATGTTCCATTTTTCTAAAAGTACTCTTCCAAGGAGAGAGCTAACACTGGTGGGGGAGTCAAGGAACAATGGAGAGGGTTTGTTGTGTTTTATTTTGACTCCAAAATAAAATGTTCTTTGTCCAAATCCTGATGCTCTGGCATATTTCATCTGGACTTCAAAAAGAGGAGGGGGCCTTTCCTTTCTGACAACAACTGCTTCCCCAGAGGAGCTGGTTGCTCTCAAGTAACATTCCACAACCACGGAGAAGACAAGATGGTGCTGCGTTCTCTGTTTCTCTGCTCAGCCGCCATGTTCCCTTCTCTGAGGAGACTCCATATATGAAACTGCAACTTCCAGCCCATTATTGAGTGAGGCATGGAATCACTGGTATTTCTTCCTCCTTCTTTCAATGTACATATTCTATGCCTTTTTACAGAGTCCTGGTTTGGCACCGTGGATTAATGTGCTAGACTGCAAAACTGGTTCAAACCACCAGCTGCTCCTCAGAAACCCTATACATGGTCACTATGGGTCAGGACCAACTTGAAGGAACTTAATGACAACAAGGCATCTTTACATCACTTCCTTCTTCCTTCCTTGGGTGGTGGGAAAA